TATATATATATATATATATATATATATATATATATATATATATATATATATATATATATATATATATATATATATATATAATTTTTATATATATATGACATAAATAGATAAATAATAGATAAAGATAGATCAAATGATTTAAATAATAGATAGATAGATGAATAGATAGATAGATAGATGAATAGATAATAGATTTAAATAGAATAGATAATAGAAAAAGCAATAGATAGATAGATATCTTTCAACGTTTTGATAATTTGCAGGTCAATTTGTAGATGAGAAAAAAATAATAAGATAGATTTTTCTCGAATATTTACTAGAATGATCTAACAATCTTCCAAACATTCTATCATTCTAATTTCTCTCTTTTACAACTACTTCATGAATGAAAATTTTTTGTAATAACAAGTAGAACTCAGTGGAATCCCTTATTATAGAAATGCATCCTCGTAACAGGCGTATATAGCTGGAAATATTAATAAATTTATCCATTATTTATGAAGAATGGTATCTCCTTTGCACCGTGCGTTCGCTTTTATTGTTTTTAATTTTTAGCTGGTGTTAAATATTTGAATTATGGATAATTTCTGTAAGTCTATGTGGAATTTCTTTCAGTTGATCAGGAGTCGTTGTATGTTTCAGCTTACTGTATATATTTTGTTTGTTACTATTGAGACTGTGTAATTCAACGTTCTAAGTTTATATATTCTGGTTAACTGCTGCATCATGTAATTTAAATTGTGCATATTTTTGCACCATGTTTTCATTGAGACGTGTTTCATTGAATAATTTTTCAATTGGATCCTTTCATATACACACGCTTTGCAGCTATATTTACTCTATATTTATATATATATATATATATATATATATATATATATATATATAATAAAAATAAAATGCAAATACATATATACTGTATTTACAATAATTTTGTGCTATACTTAGTGCTTTAGGCCATGAAATAAGTGCTTATAATTAACGGGCAAACATCTTTAACGAACGTTCCTCTCCCTATTATTCCGTTAAAATAATATACAAAAATATATAATTATATAACTAGTTTTGCAGTCACTGTATGTACATATATACATACATATTTGTTCAAATGTATAATAATCGCGTGGATAGTGATAAACTTTTCGTACAAGTATGTAACAGACAGTCGGCATTCGGTCTTATATTTATATTTTTGCTCGGTTACACATGAACTATTACCCTATAAATATCGCATACATTCAAACTATATATATATATATATATATATATATATATATATATATATATATATATATAGTTAAGTAACGAAAATCTTGGTAATCTATATGGATAATCTCAAGGAGGATGAAATCCTGAGAGCTCAATGTTAAGTTAGAGCAAATAACTTAATTTAAAGAAAAGAAAACAGACTACTTTAAGTCTTCGTTTGTTATAATTTATTTCACCAGAGAATTTTCTTTTTCTCTGGATCTTCAGACTTCACTTTCAAAGGTGAAACGAAAAATGAATTTAAAATTTACACTTTTGACGGGCAGTATTAAGATTATATATGTTGACATATAAGGTTGTGAGGAATAGTGTGAGAGACACGGTCGAGTTTAGAGAGGGAAGGGAGAGTTTTAAAATTTATTTTATTTTTTATTTTTATTACAAATATTAATATTGAGGAAGGAAGGATAAGGATATAGACACATTGATCTATTTAATCGGTCAACTCAACGGAAATGATATAGGAAAAAGAAAAAAGGAAAAAAGTGGAAAAGGAAAAAATCAGGGGAAAATAAAAGGATAAAATATTAGAGATGTAAGTAGGGTTTTTGGAGGAAGGAGAGGGGTGGTA